CAGCCCATATTCTTCACCTCGAGTAGAAAATGATATATATGTACAAATAGGATGAATAGATATAGTAGACCATAACCTTTACGGAGATATGTTACATGGCACAGGCAGCACAAAACATATTCCAGTTATGTCATACATACATTTATAAGCACCCCCTCCCCATAAAGCCTTATGGGGTACACTGTCACAACTTTCAGCTACTTAATATATTTTTGAAACTAGTTAACAAGTTTTCTCCCATTTTCAGGCTGTTCTGAGAGAGACAAATCTGTTCTATTTGAGTTGGCATTTTGTATGTGCCCTTTTTAACAGCATAGATGTAGATAAAGATAATACCCCAGTTAGGAGAATGTTACTTATTGGGAATCTATATAGTAGTCAGGCGGGAGCACTCCAACTCATAGACAAATCTGATGTGGGTAAGAGGAGCAACTGGAGGGGAGGTACTGTGATGAGAGGGAGAAGCGATTTGGAAGCTGCTTCATGATAGCCTCCATTGTTCAGGCTCCATCATGGGGTCTCCCAAGCAGCTGTGAGATCCCTGAAAAGGGAGGCTAATTGGTGATTGGGTTGCAGCCTTAAACCCAATCCCAGTGTGTCCTGAGGACCAAGTAGTCAAGGCCCTACTCGTGTAGCCTCACTAGGTAGATTAGGGGAAAGGAGTTAGTAGTATCCCACCCCTTCCCACAGGCAGGGAACCACACCCAGCCTGTTCCTCTGGGTAACACCAGGGCGGGTGAGAGACAGGTTGCTTTTCATCCCACCAAGATAATACAATACCCCTGTCCCTAACCCCATTACACTGCAGTTAAAAGGATTCAACACCTAAGTCTCTTTCAGGACCTGGGCCCTAGTCCCCAAAATGGTGAATATTGCTGCACCCAAACCAACAAATTAAATAATAATAGCAGTGTCCGAATTGTTGTTGGAGAGAATCTGGTGGTCTGAAACAGTGTGTGTGTAAGGGGTGGAGGCTGTGTGAGGGAGTTTGGTTTATGTGAGAAAAAGTTGAAAACACACCAGCACCCCAAAACAAGCAGGTTACATGATGAGATGAGGCATTGGCTTGTGTGCAAGACAGTGCAGTTTTTAGGCAGATCACAACCCTTGCTCAGGTTTCTAATAATTGGAGTTCAGTAAAGCCCACATGTAAGTATCGTGTACTACGTCTATCTGTGTGTGCATTCTAGGAACATTTTCTCTGTGTATTTTAATATTCTACTGCCAGAGGCAGGAAAATCTTTAGTATGGGCCCCTTTTAATTTAATGTCTGTGATTTCTTATTCTGATTTCAGAATGGAGAAAGGCTCGTAATGAGACAGGTAACAGTATACACATTTCTTCCAGTATTAAAAAATCATTGTGTCAATGCATTAACCAAACTAGAAACATATAATAAAATATTGCTATGCTGAGAACAAATCCTGAGATCCATATTCAGTTTATACACAGTCTTTACTTAGGCAAAACTCACATTTATATCAGGATCTGATTCTGACCTTGTACTAATTTCACACCAGTGTAACTTCATGGATCTATGTGAAGTCACTCCTAATTTGCACAGATGTGAGATCAGAATCAACCCTCACTGAGAGTTAGATCTGGGTAAGGACTGAGGAAATCCTAAATCAGGGGCTCATGATTTGGAGCAGGGTAAAAGCACAGATGAGGTGGTGTTGGTGACTCCAGTAATCATACTAAGATGTGTAACACTGACAGCGGTATGAACGTGGGTAGTTGTGACCAGGAGTGAAATATGTGGGATTGTGATGACGTTGATATTGATGAAGACAGGGGTGAAACGTTATCTCTGGTAATAGTGGTGTAGACTTATGATTGATGGTGATTATGGTGATGCTGGGAAAAAAGAATATGACACTGAGTGATGTTCATTAAGGGGATCATGAAAGACAGGTGCAATCATGGTGATTTATGGCAGATATGGATATGAGAATGTGACAGTAATTTGCATTTTATTGTAATTTTCTTCTGATCATCTCAAAGCTCTTTCCAAATAATCCAGCCCGATCTATCCCTTGTTGAGTTTGGAATTATACACAGTTTACAGAAAATGCTTAAATTATTCAAATAAGCTCATTAAATGGGTCAGTGTCACAGAGGGGAATAGAATTTATGAGTCCGAATTCTCAATACCCACTTTCAGTTAACCGACAAAACATTATTTTAATTACTAAAATAGTCCATTGTAACACTGATAGTACAACTGTGAATGCAATGGGGAAGTATAGTAATCCAACGTAACAGGCGCAGTAATTTTCTTCTCTGTAGTCTGATTGTCTGTTCGAAGATTAATGTTGTTTTCCCCCAAGGTCCCAGTTCAGCAGGGTATTTAAGCAAGTACTAAACTTTAAACACATATAAGGGTTTCACCTCATCTGAGCACATCTACTGGATCAGCCCCAAAGGCAGGCTAGGAAGAGCTGCACCTAGTTTATGAATCCTGCTAGGGCTTGGGTATGTGTTAAATGCCAAGCTGCTAGGCAATGTCAGGAATCAGGTGGCTGAGTGCAGGCTCAGCTGCCAAAGTTTAGGTAGCTCGGGCAATTTAATGGTGGTCACTTAGGTGCTTAGGGAATTTATGTGCCCACAAGGTTAGGCAGAAGCTGAGTAAGGGTTTTGTGAATTCCAGTGTTACTAAATGTTAGACGAATTTGGCTATATCCCCCTTGAGAACGCCATCAAATAGTTCAGAATCACTTTCAGTTTGTGTGAAATTCAGACAACTCTCAACTCTGAAGAATTTCAATACAACAAAAACATTGTCAAGCAGGGTTAAATCAGGCAAAACTCATACCTGAGAAGGGTGTACAGGATGGGACCCACCCTGTAAATGTCCCTTATCCCATCTTAGACTGACATTAGACCGGTGCTTTTGACAACCCAATCTCTCTTTTCAGATGACATTACACTTGATGCCGGAACAGCCCACCCCAACCTCTCCATTGCTGGGGATAAGAAGAGTTTGAAACATGAAGCCCAACCTCAAAAAGTTCCATTTAATACAGAGAGGTTCGATTCGACTGTCTGTGTGTTAGGTTTTGAAGGATTCTCTTCTGGAAAGCACTACTGGGAGGTGGATGTTGAGAGGAGCAGTGACTGGGACCTGGGAGTGGCTAGAAAATCAATACAGAGAAAAGGAAAACTTTCCTTATCTCCTAAAGAGGGATTCTGGGCTCTGGGTCTGAGTGGCAGAGATTATTGGGCAAAAACAGATCCATGGACCCGGGTCACAGTGCAGAAAAAGCCCCAGAAAATTGGAGTTTACCTTAGTTACCAAGAGCGGTGGGTGACCTTTTTCAATGTAACTGACATGTCTGTGTTGTTCACATTTAATGATTGTTCATTCTCAGGAGAGATTTATCCATTCTTTAAAAATTCCCATAAAGAAACAACAATGAGAGTTTGTTCAATTAAAGAGGAATCAATGTAAAATGCTGGGATGTTCCATTTTGTTGACCAAACACAGCCAAAGCCCTGTGCTGCTCATGGCACTGTTGACCAAACTGAATCAAAGTAACAGAACGCTTTGCAGTTAGAAGAAAGGTTATTTGGAATAACATTCCCTGTGAAATTATATTTACAAATATTGCTAATGCTGCAGGGGTGGCTCCCCAAATAAGGAATGGAACTGTACTGGAATCTCACAAACAGAGCTATTAATGATTAAAGTAATTGTTTTCATTGCTAACTTCCAGTTTATTGGCATTAAGTGTATTAGTAGCTAAGAGTAAGCAAATAATGTCCTATACTAATGTTTCTCTGCTAACCTGAATAACCAATCTTTGAGTCAGGTATAAATACAGATGGGGAATGCACCCGATCTTGAGAAAGTTTGACCAGTTGCACTGCTGACTTCAGGATGGGTTGGTAATTAATTGACTTTTCCTTTCTGTATTATGTTGTACTAATTTTGATTAATAATTTTTGATTAATAAAAGTTGATTGAGCCTAGTTATTTGACATCGCATTATTAGTTTATGTCAAACCCATAACAATTTGCAGGGATGTTTCTTTGGAAAATAAAAGATTAGCTGTGTATTCAGGGGAGCTAGAACAATTTTTATAGTGGGGATGCTGAGAGCCATTGAACCAAACTGTAAACCCAGTATATAATGGAAACCACTTCAAGCTAGGGGATGCAGCAGAACCCCCTGCATCCCCGCACCTGTAGTTCCAGCACCTATGCTGTATATTGTTTGTGGTCCCATCGTATCTGTATGTTTTCCAAAAATTAGTGTTCAGCCTCTTGGCAGTTACCAATATCTATAATCTGTGTAACCTTTTCAGAACATGATGTTTCTGACAAAGAATATGAGGATTTTACTGAGGAAAACAGAGCCCCGTTTCATATCATTGGTTTTGGAAACACTATAACACCAAGCTTATTACTAAATTTCAGATTAATGTCTGACTAATAACTATAATCTGGGTCTATAGTCAGCTGAATAAATCTATTTGCATATGTCCCTCCCCCTGTCAGCAGGGATCACAGGAGCTCAGCTCCTGCCAGCTCTAGCCAGTAGCCTTTAAAGACATTTTCACACTTCACAGGTAAATACAGTTCAGAGGAGGTGGGTAGCCATTCTGTTGTTCTTCTGATACAGAGGATGTTCCACCTATGGATTCAACTATATCACATTCTTCTTTCCATAGCATCTGTTGATAGATGTTTGGCTGTGTGTGTGTTTGTTCACTCTGTATGCTGCCCCAGCTCTGCGCAGATAGCAGAGACAGCAGACTTTGATTGAACTCCCCAATAAATCCACAGACTTGGTCTTCAGCTAAAGAACTTGGTCAGGTTTATTGCAGATAAAGAACAGTGCTAATGCCCCGGCTCAATGGTTACAGGTACACTAACACATGTATGCTCGTGACAATGGACTAGCTCAGTTACTGGCAGGATTTTCCACTATCCCTTCGGTTAGACCTTGAAACCCCTTTATGATACCTCGTTATACCCCTAGACAAACAAGTTATGCATTGCCCCCTTACTTATCTAGGTGCCACCCTCTAACATATCTATGTGCCACCGGTTACCTTGTACATGTTGGTTCGATCAAAACATCTCCATTCATCATGCTGTCATCCTGATCTTATCTTTAAGATGGGTCAATGTGTTCCTGTTATTTTTGGAGAATATGCTGATATCAGGGAGTTCTAGTACGACCCTCCTGGAATGTGTTTGCGTGCATGGCCTGTGCCTAGCACCTCTTAGGAATGTGTGTTTCTGTAATATCAGCCCTATTCTTGCCAGATTCTGTGAGCAGGCCCCCTTACAACCTGACTTTTCTTTATATCAGCAAAGCTTCGATCATTACTTTAGTTCAGTACTGGGGGGGTGATAGCTCAGTGGTTTGAGCATTGGCCTGCTAAACCCAGGGTTGTGAGTTCAATCCTTGAGGGGGCCATTTAGGGAACTGGGGTAAAAAGCTCTCTGGGGAATGGTCCTGCTTTGAGCAGGGGGTTGGACTAGATGACCTCCTGATATCCCTTCCAACCCTGATATTCTATGATTCAGGTCTCTGATACATGGGCTTATGTTTCAGGCCCTGTTCCTACTACAGCATGTAGTGTACATACAAAGGTAGTCTCCCTACAATAGCTATAAATAACAGCCTAGATAGTGAGAGACAGTTTAGGCAAGTGGAGTAAAGACACAAATGAAAGGTGCCAGTATATACACTACACCACTCTTTACTTGCCCAAGCTGTGCTGGAACCTTTCACTGACACTTGTAGCTACACACCACAGTGTGGATGTGCTGAGTTTTTCACTGCCAACTGTAACTACATGTCTGCTATACGGCACTGCCAGTGGCATATGGTGTAACAAACATGTGACTATCTCTATGTGATCTGCAGGGCACAGGTTCAGATACTTGTAGTTATGTACAGCACTCCAGATGGAAAAATACTATCAACCCAAGAGGAACTCATAGAACTGCTCCCCAAAACGACACTGGAATTCCCCATATTCCTTGTCCTCGGACACATCTACCTTCATTTTCACAATACAGATGGTACCATAGTACTTGATCTCATTGTCAACATGGGACTTGCTAAGGCAGTCTCTGAACTGACTCTGTACCTGCAGACGTACATTCAATTATATCTTCAATCTAGGACTGGAAATTTGAGTTTTCATAAGTGTACCACACTCCTGATCTGATCAGCTCCTCATCCAGACAGAGGTCAGAGATTTCCATCCTTTCCACCTCGGTAGCAAACATTCAAAGCTGGTCACCCCTGAAGACTCCTGAACTCTTTAAGTTTTCAACTTACCCTAAGAGACCAAGCCCCACAATTACAAGGCCAAGGTGCTGATAACTTAACACAATCACCGGATTTCCATTCTCAAATGCCTTGGTCCCAAGCTGCCCACTCCCCCCACATTAACTGGGATGACCACAATGCTTCACAGATGAACTTCAGCAGATGAAGTGAACAGGCAGAAAGTTAGAACATCACTAGAGCAAAAAACTTTCTGAATCCCTCCACCAGCAGCACAAATAACACTCACAGAACCAGGCCTCTGCAGCAAAGCAGGTGAAATAACCCTTCAACTCCCCTTCAATGAAGGCAGCAAGCGTACGGCTGACACCCCCTCTGTGATACCTCTTTATACCCCTATACAAACAAGTTATGCATTGCCCCCTTACTTATTTAGGTGCCACCCTCTGACAAAGTTTGGCATCCTTGTGTTCCACACCAAGACCCTGACCCTGGTCCCATGGAAGTCAGTGACCAATCTCACTTCTGGGACTTGGGCAAGTCTGACTCACTGCTTTGGAAAATCTTCCAACCCCGTTGACACCCTCATTAGGAGTGCACAGCTATACAGTTTGCCAGTGCAAAGTGCATTTGTAGAAAATTTGACTTTGTGTATTTATTTTACTGATATGCCTTAGGCAGAAAAGGGTGAGTTCACCTTACTTTCTGAATGGTGGCTGTCAAATTGATGACTAGAGGGGACTGTAATATATGGGGATTCTAAATATGATTAATAATGTGACAGCCATGGAACCTCTATACTATGTGTTCAAATCTGGCATAGATTAGTGGAGACAAAACCTTTTCCCATCTGAGGGCAATTTTGTGGCTTGTTGAAAATTAATTTCAGTCTAACTCATGTGAAAAAGATTCATATACCCCCGCACACATACACACACTGCCACTGTATCTGGCTTTATAAATTGTGACAAAGTTCCTCCTCTATCTTGGTAGGTCCTGCACTTATTAGCAGATTTTCTTGCCTCAGAGATTCACCATGTGAGTTGGGGGAACAGCCCAGAGACCTTTCCCCTCTGGAAGAACC